CCTATTTGTTTTCAAATCAAGCGAAAATTTGACTATTGGTCGCAGGTCGCTTACTACTGACCGACATTTAAGTAAAGGACCTACGTATGTTTAGGAGATGCCTTGTCAATGAAGCGAACACCACAACAAATCTCAAGTCTTGCTCAAAATGAACCTTTTACAACTAAACTTCTGCACACCAACGCGTGTAGAATACTTAGATACGCCAACTTCACTCTGAATGTTTTTATATTTGAATCTAATTGGAGACTGACAGCCATTGTTATGTACAGTTAGTACTCTTTTATCTTAGACACGAGATAATGGCAACACTTTGACAGAACATCGTTAGAAATAATTGGCTAACTATGTACTTTATAATAATATCCTATTGCCTAATTGGTTCTTGAGCTAAGATCGCTTAAGGCGAATTGTTTGAATGCTGTTGAATAGATTTTTGCAGTGGTTTTGTTTCTAGTTTTAGTTTGTTTTTACTGTCCTCAAATGTGCATAGGTTTTTTAACCCTTGGAGTACCGTCATTATAGACACAATTAAAGAACAATAGGTTGCGGTCACCGGTGTCCTCGCGGTGTTTGACAGTTTAATGGGGGGACAAAAACCACCCCTTTCCTACTCCTGTACTTATAGCCGGAGCCCCGGTAATCTTTGGCGTTCTCCGTGAGTCCGTATCGGCATCAGCCCTATTGGGCTTCATCCGTGGTGGTCTGATGGCTCTTAGAAGCGCGCGCCGCAAGCTCGGGTCTGATTCTGTTCGGGCGACGAGCTACCATCATAGTATAAAGATTTTCTTTATACTATGCTACCATGCTCGCAGTGTCCTTCGCGACGGTTAAGTTGTGAGGAGAATAAGTGCATAGGGTAAATATTTTTCCCTGATGGTATTCGAATTTTAAATGGATATACTTCTTTTTTTAATGCAACAACGTTCATGCATCAGCTTCATCAGAAATTACGAGGTTTGAATTTCGCGTTGTCGCTTTACATCCTGTCATTATTCCTGATGTTTAACCAAAATTCATTTGATATTGTTATTCTACATAAACATTTAAACGTCTGCAAAGAACTACAGTTCTATTAAAAGACAGAGACAGCAATAGTTTTATATCACCATCTCTTTCTCTCATACAGCTATGAATGGATGTAATTTCCCTACAAAGCATGACTCATCATTTTTCTACGTAAAAATACTACCTACTTTACATGCAATTGATATTCATTTTCTATGCCATATTTATCTATGACAATAAGGTTGAAAATCGCTTGTATTGCAGTTTATAGTTATAACTTTACATGCATTTGATATTCAACCTCCATGCCATATTTATCTATGTCAAGAAGGTTCAAAATCGCTTGTAGTATCTAGTTGTAAAGTTGTTGACAGGTAATGTACGTAAAAAAACATCCTTGTGAATGTCCATGGGAACTTCCTTTTGATTGAAGTCGGTTAAGTAAGTACGTTTCTTAGAAGTAATACATTTATATTATACTAGCATAGTATAAAGAACAGAGTAGGTTATCTTCATACAAATGCTCCGCGCGCGGCTTATATGTGTGCGCCATAGTATCTATGCGTCGACGCACGCACACTTTAACAAAATCTCGACCCGTTTCTCAGTGCGCCAGGCAGGGCTAACACTGCACGAGGTTCGCGCGCGCATCACTTTACGGCACTGTTAAATGAAATAAAAAATGTCTGATAACCGTAGAAGAACGTATTGCTGTGTGTTTGGGTGTCTTAATAATTAATCGATTCCAGAACTGTCTCTGTTCAGATTAAGTACGTATTGAACAGGAAAGGTAAGCTAGTCACTTTTTCTAGCATAATATAATTTGTAGGTACTTGATGATGAGATACCTACTTACTTATTCTTACTCTTATCATTCTTCATAGTTCCTACTCAACCAGAAAGAAGAATTACCTACTAACTACTATACTTAAATATTATAAGAAAATGTGGTATTGTATTGTTTATTTCACAGTTTATCTGATTTGTTAAGAGCGTGGCCGTGTCGCATTTTTCCATATAAATGTATTCCCAAATTTACTTTCTGAATACTATGTATAGAGCTAAAGTTTATTTTAAGAAGTTAATAATATTTTTATAAGCTTCTTATTTTTACTAAATTTATAAATTGATAAAATATTCAATCATAATATGCTTTTCATTTCATAAATTTAGATCAAGTGCTGCTTGTTCGAAAATATTAACTAAAAGTAAAAGTGACAACCCTGGGGATCAACGCAAGAGTAGGCTAATAACTCGGCGGGCGGCCTTAGATAACCTACTGTGTTCTTTATACTATGATACTAGCTTTTACCCGCGGCTTCGCTCGCGTCACAAAAGGATAAAAAGTAGTAATGTGACTATCCATCCCTTCAATTACCTTCAGTTAAAAAATCACGTTTATTAGTGCCTCCGTTCTGCCGTTTAAGACGTGGAATTCGGTTATATCGCGCTATTTAGATTTTTCCAATAAGTACATAGGTAATTCGTTGATTGGGTTTAAATGACATACAGCGCCACCTATACCAATATCTTTGTTTTCCTTCGGAAATATCAAATTTTTCTGCGATAAAAAGTACCGTATTATTTAATCCAGACTTCTAACTTTATGTCTGCAAAATTTCAAAGCAATCGGTTTAGTAGTTACGGCGTGAAAGTGGAACAAACAAACAAACAAACACACTTTCCGATTTATAATATAAGTAAGGATAAGTAAAGATTTTTATGGAAGATTTTTAATTTAAGAAGTAATTATAAACGCTGTTTCCTTAATTTGTGAGCAGATACATGAAAAATGAATCTTAAAATAAAATAGTATAGTGTCCATAATTTACCTGCAACTGGAGACAACTTTCGCATGACGCACCATCGCGATTTCCACTGTAAATAAAGAAAACAAAAAACATTAAAACACAGTTAATATTAAATTTCTAAGATTTGTAAGATAGAAGTCTACATTTATTTCACGACCTCTGCTCTTGCCGTGGGTTTCGTTAGAGCCGATGATGGGTCTACATTCTACATCTACCTCTGTCAACTCAATAGCAATCAACAGCTCTCTTTGATAAACCTATTAAAATCCAATCTCCAACTCATTCTACCAAGCATGGAGATCGTGGTCAACCATTTATGTAGATACGCTTTTCTCAAGACCCCATCAAAATCGGTTCAACTATTCGCGAGACAATCGCGCACGAACACCCATACATCAACTGCCTATAAATGCCAACTGCTGAGCAAAGAAACCATACATGAAGCCTCTTCTCACACGGAGAAGGTTGGAGCATTAATCACCACGCTTGCTCAATGCTGGTAGGCGATTTTAAACTTATAATTAGAAATTATAATCCCAGGTTTCCTCACGATGTTTTCCTTCACCGTTTGTCAGTGGTGTCTAAATAATCTTAGAAAGTACATATAACTCGGAAAATGTCCCACCCACCCATACATACAGGTCAAATTAAGAAGGTCCTGTTTTTTGAAATCGGTTCATAAAATAGCATTGTGTGTCGTGAAGCAACGCTTGCGTTGTGTTTAGTCGTGTGAGTGAGGTTACCGGAGACCCAATTACCCTCCCCTTCCCCAGTCTCCCCAATTCCTGAATCCCCAACAATACGCAAACTCCTAATCCTCAAAAGGCCGGTAACGTACTTGTAACGCCTCTGGTGTTCCACGTGTCCATGGGCGACGCTGATTGATCCGTCCATACCATCAGGTGATCCGTCTGCTCGTTTACCGGCTTAACCATAAAAAATAGTATAAGTAATAAATCCTAATAACCTAATAAAACGAAGTCAAGGTTATCAAGTTCTTAATAAAATACCTTAGTAAATGTATTATTGATTAATAGCTAATTATTATTAAAGTCGTTTTATATGACCGTGTATTTAATATTAAACATAGCGATAATACTCACTTAGCTAACTAAACCACTTGATATGCTAAAACCTAATAGGTAAATAGAATATTAATTATCTATGTGTTAAAACAACTTTGATTTACGAAAGCTAATCCTAACATAAACGCTAGGGTTTTTAGTCACCAAAGGAGCAGACAGAGGTTCATTAAACCATCAGGCGAGAGAGAGCGCCAGACTCTTGACTGACTAAACCCACCCCGTTCCTAGTCCGGCTTTGATCCGAAGCCCCGGTGGCCAGTTAGGTTGTACAGGTTCAAACCAGAGCCCAAAAACCGAACTCTGTGCTATTACTCAGTAGTTGAAACATCCCAATTATACCCGACCGTAGAATCGAATCCGAAACCCTTTGAGTTGCTGCAGTCGCACCATATTGCTCTCACACCATGCTCGAACGAACAAGGCAGAAGCATATCATTAAGAAAATATAAAAATAAATAAGTTATTATCAATATGTAACTGCAACTAATCTTATTAAATAAATCTTTCTGTATAATAAATCTGTTAAGTTACTAAGTTCAGGCACTTTCGTCAATCACCCGACATGTTGCCAACTAGCGTGTCACCGTCCACGAAGCGATACATCCATACCACTCACACTTACCACATTCACTATCTTTTGTTTCATTCACACACGCCGACCGCAAATACTAGTAGTGTACAGTGACAATAATGTTATTTGTTTCAGGATAAATATGGCGACATTGTTTGAAGATTAATTTTGGAGGTTTTAAATGTCGTTTTGGTTTTGAATTTTTTTTTTGTTTATTAGAACGTAGTTCTTTATGAAAATATAAATATCAATATCAACAAAATCGAGTTTTAAGAAAAATTATACTAAATTGAGTTTTAGGAAAAATTACTACGAGATCATACAAGTGACAAGTGAAAAAAGTTAATTTATTTCTGCAAATAAGCTACAAGGTAGTACTATAACACGCCAATTACCCATAGTATGCGAGTGTAGATCTACGCGAGACACAATTTGTTTTCTATTGTGTTTCGTATATAAGAGGCAACAAACAATTAATAATAAAATTGTTTGTATTTCTAACATATTCAACCCCGGTTCAATCAATCTAAAAACGGTATAGAAGAAGCCTTAACCAAAAACAACAACTCATGGACATCGTATTCGATCGAGAAAATGTGCGCCGACAGGCAAGCCGACTCGGCGCGATGTCGCCCGATCGTCGCTCGACTGTGGCGCCCCGTCTCCCCGCAGTTGCCCCGCGAGTCCCGCCACAATCGCACGTCCGTTCCCACAAAAATTCAAAATGTTTGGAATAGACACCGAAGCACTCATTCTCGCAGTGAAAAAACGTCCATCATTGTACAACAAAAACGACCCTTATTACTACAACAATAAGAAACATAAATCTAGATTGTGGTTTGAGGTGTGCAAAGAAGTGTTTTCTGCCTGGGACAACTTCAAGCCGCAAACCAAGGTTGAACAAGGTGAGCAATGAAAACTGTAAATATGGCGGCGTAGTTTCACGCTATTTACTCACTTAGTTACGTAGGTATAAAAGCGAAATTAGTTTGTGTTTTTTCTGCGGTTGGCGACAATTTTTGTTGTCGTTTACTTTTAGAGGTGAATGCGTTGTAAATGGTACTTTATCTCTCGTTAGTAAAGTTGGAAATGTGTTATCATAAACATTGAGTTATGGTAAAATGCATTGTTATGTTTTGTTGTACCTAGTTTTTACTCGTAAAAAAAACTGATATCGGATAGTATTACTTACAATCTATGTTAGTATTATATATGTATTGATTGTGTTTTTAAAATGAGATTAGCCAACCAGTAACCATGACCACAGTCGTAACATTTCAGAGGTTATATTTTTGTTTTGGTTGTCATGCCAGTAAATAAATGTTTTAAAATTAATGTTGGCATCTAGGCTTTTAGCACATTTTAACAAAATAGCTTAATTTTACTAGTTAGGTATTATTTTATCTTCTTTTTTCTTCGCGGTTTTAGTTAATTTTAAGTTGTATACATTTATTTATTCATAATATTATGTTATGTAAAAAGTAGTAACATTCATAGAATAAATTATAGTAACTGGTCCCTTTACATTTATGTAGATTTAAATTAATGTCGATTTTTCAAAAGTGACTCTGCGTCACTTGATTGAAATAACTAAGTCCTTAAATGACTTTACCCGACTACAAGGCAGTCAAAGGTACTAGACAGTAAGCACAGTAAGAGCATAATTTCCCAAAATGTAGATGAAGGAGACCCAAAATGAAGGAGAACGAGAAGGAAACTCAATACTCAATACTCAATACTTTATTGCTTTTCACATGTATTGGTTACTCCATGGTTAACTTTCCATAACATTATACATTTTGGCTCCAACAAAATAAATAACATCATTGTCCATAATAGAGTATTGACGAAATTCATCAGACCCATGTTTCCATCGTACTCCTAATGAGACAGCCCCGACACTTTGAGACGGGTAACGGGTTCGATCTCCGGTCAAAGTTTACACGGAAATGTTTTAGAAGTTCATCGCAATTTGTGTTTGTTATTTCAATGTCTGTTTGGTGAATTAATATTGGAATTGGAGAATTTGGTCTTTGGGTGTAGCGGTAAAATGATCGATGATTTGATATCGGGTCCAGAGCATTTTGTAAGGGATTGACTGGAAAATATTTGGTTTTTTTTATTAGTTTTTCCTAGTAGCAACACAGTTTGCATTGCATTGCATTCTAACTACACAACAGATAAAAAAGAACCAAATTCAGATGCAGTGAGAAGATTTTTGAACAAGGAATCAAATCTTTAATCCATTATGGCTAACCAGTTATTTAGGCAATATTGACGCAACCTCTAATTCCTCGAACAGCTTTCAAACTATAATTTTCTGACTTCATATAGCCCTAGTACATTAAATCAATTTGCATTGCCTTCATCACTGCAGACCGTTCATTAGACTTGTTAATCGCGAATACATTGTGGTCAGGCTTCTTACGTAACGAGGCCGGAGGAGGGCGCACAGAGGGCACTGAGTCTAACCACTCTACATAACTTTATATCGCCTTAATTGTTCCAACGCCTAGACATCTCAAGGTGTTACCTAGAATTGGAAACAATTGAGCTAAATTGGCTTCTTTATGGACAAATAATTCAATGATTGTTATATTTATCAAATGTTTAGTGTTATGAGTAGCAGCGGAGATGAGTATAGCCAATAATAATCAAGGCAAGCCGATAAAACAGACTATTCGCGCAGACACAGTTCACAAACACTTTAGATAGTAAGTGTGATTTTATGTATTTATTCAAACACTGCCTTTAAATTCCAGGTCACGAACTGCAAAAACGCTGGAAGAGTCTTCGCACATGCTTCACTAGGGAACTCAGTCTTCAAAAGAGAGAGCAATCCGAACCATCGAAGAAAAGAAAAAGAAAGAGATATGAATATTTCAACACAATGTCCTTTCTATTAGAAACAGGAGATGATGAAGAAGGAACAAGCAACACAGCTAAGGACTGTGAAAGTGATGATTCCTCATCAGATCCTTTAGAAAGTATTAAGAATGAACCTTCAGTTTATGAGGCATCACTACAGACAGATAACTCCGCCCATTTCGAGTTAGAAACCGAAATCCCAGCGCAGGCTGGGACAACAACCGCTTCATATTTAAGACCTGTGTACGACAGAAGTGACAATTTGGAAGATAAAATTCTAGATATGTTGAAAGAAATAAAGAAGGATGAAGAAGATGAGGACAGACAATTCATGCTTTCATTAGTTCCAAGCTTTCGGAAGTTGAAAGCGAAACAGAAGTTTGAAGCGAGGATTGAAATCTTAAGAGTGTTGAAGGATATCACGTTTCAAGATGATGATGAACAGAAGAATTCGCAGAATTGAGGAAGATACGTTTAAACTCTGACTTAAACTGCGTTTATTATCAAGTTAATAAGATTTGGACGTGATTCCTTAGATTAATCATGATGTAGGTTCTATGTTTGAGTAGTGTTTCAACAAATTCTGGTAGACAGCATTCACAGGTGAATTAAAAATGGTAGTTAAGTGACAATGATGAGAAAAGTGTAGACTCTATTGATCTGAAACGAACTGTAACTTGTAGACCATTAATTAACTGAAGATTTGTGAAGATATAGGTTAGTAGGTACCATACCATTTTTTATATAAACACTGGTCTAAGTTACATTTGATTGAACTAATACATCTTTTCAAAGTGTTTGACATTAAAAATATACATTAGGGTGAGTTTATTTGAACAGTTTTCGTTGATTCGGTTCAAAATGTTTATGGAAGTGTGAAAAACATTTAACATAGAGTAGAGATTAAATCGGATCATTGCTTTTTCGTTTGAAAACTAATTTGCAATTTGTTCAGTAAACTAGAACGTAGTTTCATGACCCAGATTTTATAGACAGATAAGTATCTAATTAACGTCTTGTTTATATTTACGAGTACATTTGAATTAAATAGTATTTTGAAAAGAAATGTTTTAATTTTCTTTCCGTTCTGTTTTTACTGTATTGTTGTAGTCATTATGTTTGGCTGTTATAATAAAATGCGGCAGTTATTTTAAACTGTTTTTCGAGTCGGCTAACGAATTATGACCTATAGTCCATCTGTTTAGGTAATTAACTAAAGGTAAACAAAGAAAACCACGTGACACAGAGATACTTAACCTACTATTACTTCAAATATTTCTCGTGTTTTAATTTTAACTAAATTCACTTTAAAATCGTTCATTTGTCATACACACACATACAAGTACAAATGCCTAAATCGTACAAGAGCCTAGCCTATGGGTCTATTTCATTATCATGTTTAAATAGAAACTATTCTGAATCTGATGTAGGTACGGATTTCTTTCTTGTACGGATATCTGTCTTTGGGCCAAGTTTCTTCAATATATTTGAACACATTAATTACAAACGATGAATAACCTAAACTTAAATAACTTAATAACAAAAACAAAACAAAGAAACAAGTTAAATTCAACAAAATAGGAACGCGAGCGCAAACGACGAGAGAGCTGTCAATGGCGCCTGATTAACCGACTAAACGTAACACACGCTACTTTCATTGTCGCGCTACATCTTCGTTGTACTCTTTAATTTGACAACATTATTTTGCTTCGTTCTTAAAGAAACGTTTTGGATACCTGGGATTTTAGGCTCTTTATGGTGTCTATTGTAATGAAATATTATATTATTTAATAAATGTTATTAAATTAATATCCTCAAGCAGATATATTTAATATTTATTAAGAAATAAGTGAAAAGGAACAGAAACATAACATTTAATAGAGAAAACTGTCGTAAAAAGGGAAACAATTTTATTTTCTTATGAAGTATTTTGAATCATGGAAATGTCAACTATAAAGAACTCTTTTTATGGTTTGTTTACAAATAGTTAACTACCTAAACAGACGGAGTATAGCTGCGGAACCCCTGAAGCCGTAACGTTTAATGTCCGAGTTTATTCAACCCTGTAATATAGGGAACACGTACTGGATGAAAGTTAAAATAATAGTGTTGGTTCTAAAAAGTGAGTGCTATTCCAGTTTAGTGTTGCTAGTAAACCAGGGATACGAGAGGAAAAATCGCTTTATGAGAAACTGTAAGCGAGTCGCTTATTTGAAATTTAAATGAAGCTTCGATTTTTTTTAGATTAGTATAATACTAACCACTATAAACTGAAACATTCCGGACAGCTGCAAGTTAGATTAGTTTAATCGAAGAATTGTTTAAAAAATGTTTGGTTTTTCCCTATTCCCTATTTGAACATTTGACAACTGTCATCTGCCATTCACAACACAATAGATGACAATAGTAATATCCTTGGCTAGACCCGTCGTCAGCATTTCAACATTTTTGTCGTAAAATTCGTCAACAAAGAAAATAGAAGAATTTTAGCTGTAGTATAAAGAACCTACTTGAGAATTGTTACTCAGACCATAAGATGAAATTGAAACATAAAACTTTTATGGTTTCATGGAAAACTGTTGCGAATCGATACAAAATTTTAATTAAAGTGAGACATCAGATTGGCTTGGCTGGAAGAGCTATTCGCGATACTTATTTTAATTTATTCATAGGATGCCGGGTGGAGAATATTAATTTAATTTAGTTCACAAAGTGACTAAAACGTATCGTTTGAAAACTTTTTTGTTCGTAGTTTGAGTTGTTTGTTTTAGAACAGTTTTAATCAATTTTAGATTTTGTTATTAATAAACTTCTTTCTGCCAACGGCTTCGTCCGCGTTACCGTGGGCTAAAAAGTAGCCTATATGTTATTCCATACCATAACCTATCCTTGTTCAAATAACATCCCGATCCCTTCAGCCGTTTAGCCGTGATTGAGTACAAACATACACACAGACAGACACAAATTCAAAACTTTCGCATTTATAATATTAGTAAGAGTAATATTAGGTTCGTATTTGAGATAAAATAAAAATACAGATTTGACTACTAAAATTAAACAGTTCCTGGTTGATATGACTTGCAAAAATGTAGAAACTTGAATAAATTGTCGTGTTTTGTCAGGGTGACTCGGCATCAGAGTCTCCGCCTTTGTCCATCGGTCCGTGGCCACTTGTGAGTGAGTGCGCTCAACCTGATAATTACGCAGAGCATGGCGTTTCCATTCACTTTAACTCTTTGTTGTTCCATGTTTACACGACTGCATTGAACGAGGATTACCATTAAGTTGTGTTTTTTAGACAAATATTTATTTTTCTATATACATTTGCATTTTGTTTGGTAAGGCAACAGTTTTGACTTTTTACCTAGGCTTTGAACATATAGGTACACATTAAAGAAGATAAATGTTTGGTTATTCCTCTACCATGTTTTTATTAAGGGGGGAAATCATGGAATGCTTGCTCCCGCCTGGGTGAGGCGGGAGGGAGTATCAGACTCTTACTGACTAAAAACCACCCCGTTCCTACTCCTGCACTTCGAGCCGGAGCCCGGTAATCCGTTAGGTTCTCTGCGGCTCCGAATCGGCATCAACCCTATTGGCGCCATCCGTTCCTTTACCATGTTTAGGTACTCATTATTTAAGACATCTTAGGCAATAGAAACCCTTAATATTTTATTATCATAACTATTCTAATATTAAGTATGTAATTCTTTGGTTTTTATATTTGTTTAGAAGCGTAGCAATATAATCAATAACTAGTATTGCCTAGAAAAAATCAACCCTTTATCACAATACTAAAAAAATACCTTCTAGGAACTACCCAGTTACTCAGGCTTCTACTTAGCATTACGTACTTAAACGTACCTTAACAAAATTAATTGGCAACCGCGTATTGGCCGCTCGGCGTATCGGATCGGCGTATTGCTCACTGGTGTTTTAATTAACGTGGTGACAACGGCGCGGCGTACTGTTGCGTTCGTGTTTCGTATCGCCACAAATTGCCAGCCATTATTATATTTTTGTTGTGTTAATTTTGCTGCCGGGAATCGAACGATAAAATTGTTGGATTATTGGATTATTTTCCGTTTTTATTATGATTGCGATTATTTGTGATCTAGGCAGTTAATATGAGATTGTGTTTTTAAAGTTTTTTTTTTTTACTAAATAGTGATTGTTTTGCAAATAGACATAGGTAAATTATCTATCACACCAGAACTTTTTATGTCGTGGGTGAGATAAAAACATAACATACATTTATAGGATAACAGAGTTGTTCCATGCGGGAATCAAACCGAATAGTCAACCTACTTTTAAATAACTCTATCATGAAGATGACTAGATGACTAATGAAGCCATCAATCATTCACATTCAGACAGAAATGCGGAAATGATATCATTTAGTAACGCCATTCCGGAAATACCTACTACAGTTTAAAATAATCTAATTTATAGTTCCAGTATAAATAAACAGTTGGTAGTAAAAGTTGGTCCATCATGCTCTGTTTAAAACTTATTCATCAGTTACTAACAGGCCGTGACATTCCAGTGCTGAACCATGAGGCTTCAGAAGATAATCCGAAACAGGAACCTACCGAAATTTCCGCGTCCGATAAGCATCTGCGTCAGGCGGTAGGTGAGGACGCCGTGACGTCTCTCAAGCTCAAAGAGGAGACTTACCGCTGCAATGGCAGCGAGCCCAAGTTTAAAAGGTTTAGGATAATGAGTGCTGCCGTTTGGTCTCTATCAAATGTGTATTCGCTTTGTCGGCTTTGACGTCACCCGCGGGCTGCGTAAAGCATGATAAAACTCTTTATACCTCTAGGATTGCATAAAATGTTATTGCAATTCAACAATATAATCTTAACATTCCTTACAAAGGTAGTCAAACACTCATTTGGAATCACTTGACACTCAAGCGCCATACCTACGTACTTACACTACGCTAACGTCACACTATGAACTTAGCCCTAAGCGTATTCTCTATCTATCCCTTTCTGTCCATACGCTCATGCCATCTTCCATCTCGCTCGGCAGCTAACTTCAGACCGGTAGTTTAATTTGATGTGTTACCTACAAATCTTTGTACGGGTAAATGATGCATATTTGTATGTAGGGCGGTGTTATCAGTCTTATCAATGAGCTCTCGAAATGATACTGATATGGAAATGTTTTCCAATACTCAATATCAACGAGTGTTTATCGAACGTTCTGGCAGTGAGAAAAATTGGGTCTGATTTTTGTTGATATTGAAACAAAAACATTGCTTTTCCGTAGCTCTACAGATTAAAATCTTATCTACGAAATTAAATTATTAAAAACCTATAACGCCGAACAATTAATCGCGTTGTGAGGTAATTCTTTTATGTTTTTCATAAAATACAAAAAGAAATCTAGGAGCCATTCGGGTGTGGCCGTAAACTCGAGTTTGGCCTCAATAATCCTCCATTTGGATTTTCCACCCTTTGACCTAACTAAAAAGCATACAATTCAAACAAATAGTTTCACAATAATAACAATA